ACTCACTACCATCGAACATGTTTATAGTGACCCGATAGGACAGGGTAGAACTGCCCCCATGGGTTTTTGGGACTGCCGCTGTTGAAGGCCACATCTTTTCCCTGCAGAGAACCTGGGGAATCCAAGCTGCTGCTCTTGTAGTTTGCAGCCTGACACAGAACCAGCTCCTCCACCAGAGCGCTTCATGGTTGCTAATAGTAGGAATTAATTCGACAGCAATGGGCTTAGTAGACGGGAATATGGAATCAAGAAAGGTTCTTTGCATTTTTAAAAGTGAGATTTACTTTAATGATGATGCGAATGAAAGATTAGAGAGAAATGGAGGTTTGAAATGTTTAAAAATGACAGTTAATATCTTTGAAATATTGACATGGACCCAGGCCACAGATGCAGAAATACTTCTGAATTTATGAATACTCTCTGAAAATGGATACTTTGCAACCTCATTCAGTAGCATGTACAATGTGTAATCACCCTGATGGCCACAGCATTGTACTTGCTATACTTGCCATCATGGAACTAAAGAAAGTCAAAGCCTTTATATAATGAGCTTGTGATTGTTCAAATTATGTGTCAATGTGGGTAGGCCAAGAGGCTCAGCGATTTGGCAGCTATTATTTAATCAACCTCCATTTTGTGGTCTAAAGTGAGGTGCCAATCAGCTGAAAGAGGAGTTTCGTTGGGAATGTGGCCTGCCTCCAATATACGAGGATAAGTCAAAGGTTATTCCTATAAAATGACAGAGAACTTTATTATACAAAAATATCAAAATGTGAAGCTATTTTTTCTCAATGTGTCCAATAGCTAGACTTTTCATTAGTCGTAACTGAGTTGATGGTACTTAACAACAAGACTCACCAAAACCAAACTCACCGCCATCCAGCAGCTACCAGATCCTAAAGACCCTGCAGGCTAGGGTAGGACTGACTGCTCTTGTGAGTTCCCAAGGGCAAGTTTCTATTTTAACAGCAGGAGTAGAAAGCCCTGTCTTTCTCTGGAGGAATGGCAATAGATGGAATATTGGTAAGAAATACGATGAATTGACGCAGTGGGTACAAAAATGAGTTCAAAAGTGGCAATGATTGTGAGTTTAGCACAGGATCGGGCAGCGTTTCACTCTGATGTGCACAGGGTTGCCGTGAGTTGGAAATGCTCATTGGCAAACACACAGTAGATACTATCATGTTCCTGTTACAACAATGCATGAGTCCTGAAACAGTGCTTGTAAGAGCAAGGAATTAGGGAGGTCTAGCCCAGGATCTTCACTTTACAAAAAACTCTAGTAAGGTAGAATTTTTGTTGAAAGTTATTTGACTTAATAGGTACAAAATGAACTCTTCTGAAGTAAGGAGTTAGCCCTAAGATTTCATTATACAGAGAAAATTGATAACATCAGTAGACCTAGTTTCTTAGTGTAAAATCACTAACTCCCTCTGAAATGGCACAGGATTGTGTGATGTTAACGTTCTGTGTCAACTTTGCTAGGTTATCATACCTGATTCTATGTGTTTGTCCTCTACTTTGTGATCTGATGTAATAAACCATCATTTTGTGATATTATATAATTACCTTCTATCTTACGTGCTACAAATCTTAACTATATTATATGTTAATGAAATGAAACAGAGTTAGTGAGGGGTATATTTTTACCTTGCCTTAGAAGAGGGTCAAAAGTCACACACTTACTCTGATGTGAAAAGTTCCCGCAATGGTTTGCCATGAATCCAATACATCCAGATGCTCCGGCAAGGTTTTCCCTCCCTCTGGAGCCTGAATCTGGCTTCTCATCACCTGATTTCTAGGTCTTCTGACTTAAGGTAGGAGCCTGCCGTCTGACTTGCCCATTTGGGGTTCACAAACCACTACAAGTATCTAGCCTGACAGCAGACACCGAATAAACACAATAAGGTTTATTTATTAGCAGCCTTTTCTTGAGATAAGTCTCTCCATATATATTTATAGAAGGAGCCCTGGTAGTGCTGAGGAC